TGGCCATGTAAATAAAAAATAAGGAATGGTTTTTAAGTGGACGATTAATTAAAGATTATTTTCATTCTTAAGTAATACAAAATTGTCTTGTGATTTCTTAATGCATCAAAACATGGATAGCTACTTTTAGCCTAAAATATTGTAGCTTGGTCAGCTATCAGTTATATATAAAAGTTTTTCTCGAGATCTATATATTATATTTTCTAAATATAGTTTTGCATTCTATCATTTGTAGAATTTTCGATAAGCGTGTTAGGTATACTTACGTAAAACTTTTATCTTTGGTCCCTATAAAAACAATATGTATTGGTATTTTACCAATATACATATACGGTCATCATTTAATTAAAATGACTGCACCACAAACATGTCAATTGGTTATTAATAATAAAAACTTTTTGGATAAAAAGACTGATTTTTAAGTAAATAGTCTTAGATATATATATAGTGATGAACACAGTTCTTAATTTTAACAAGAAAATACATTATAAAATGTTTTTGAAAATAAAGTTTTGCTTTAAAATTATATTGAGTAAATAATATCCCTATATTTATGAGAAATTCATTATTGATCTGATTCTCTATCAGGGATGTAAATAATTCATTTTTTTTCCTTTCAATTAAATTGTCTAATTAAGACTGTAGGGTTTTATTGTGTTTTCATTATTTGTAATGAATGTAGTACTTCACTTAGAGAAATCTTTCTCCGTATTCTTTCACTGATATAAATGATCACCCAATCATGAGAATCTGTGTTTGGCACACCTTCGTTTAAGAATTAAGCAGAAATTAATAGAAATGGGTAGCAAGTGACATTTTATTGTAGAAAACCCTCTCCTGGGGTCCGTGGACATACCATATGCTTTCATCGCTAGGTTCAAAAACTTTGGCTGGTTTGGATGTAGTTGGCGAGAAAATCGCTTGGGGTTTAGGTATCACTTCACCGAAATATTATTATGAAATCGAGGAATATAAAAAAACACAGGAAGAAAATAACAAAGAACAAGAGGAGCAAGCAGGATGGTCTGAGCCTACAAATACTGCACAAATTAATTTGAATGATGTTGCCACCAGTCAACCAAAATCAAAGCACGTCAATACCGTTGAGTAATATATCTCCAGTCTTAAAGATACGAAAACACAAAATGATATTGTTACTAATAAATACCTAATAACCTATTTGTGAAATAACTCATCATCACAGATTTAGATCGTCTTATGTCTCTAGATATACAGGATTTCCCAAAAAATGTATAGCTACACTGTTTGAATTTTTATTCACCATATAATCAATATATAAATTACAAAAATATCTACATTAAAAGTACGATACAATATTCAAGAAATGTATTTGTACCTTGATGGTAATGATTTCCATTTACAACTTTTTTAAACGCGATGATCACTTGATTTATTGATGTATTATTGCTTGTCTCATAGATTTTTTGAGTTTCGCAATAACTTTTCAGAAGTCTTTCTTGCTCGCTGATGTTTATATTGATCTTTTGGAACTTTGTCTTGAACATCCTGATCATTTCCTTTAGTTTCAAACTTATCTTTTAACCGTTAATTAAATTGTAAGTCGCGTAATAAATGGATTTGCCTGAAATTTCCTGTGGTATTTTTATACTTTTGGTATATTTTGATACCTAAAATGACTACTAATTATATACCTATATTAAATTTTTTATTTTTCAAAGATTAACCATGATTCACTCATTGTTTCCAATTAATTTCACTTTTATCAAAAAAGGGAATAATCAGAAGATGATGACCCGTTAAACAGGGTATACTTTTTTTGGGACACCGTGTATTTACATTAGTCTTGCGATGAAATGATTTTGTAAATATACAATTTAAGCACAATATACAGATTAAATTCTGGCCACATTTGAACTTCTTTGCATATAGTGTTTTCTTACTTTCTGATGTCTTTACTATTTATAATGTATTTATTAACAGTATTAAAAATATATTTTACTGCGTTTCCTATTCTGTCGATTATATATTAATACTACTTTGCCCTGTGTTGACAGCACTCATAATTTTTCTTATATATAATTTTAAAATTATGGCATTTTAATAGTTAAATAAAAATGATTTTGATCAGTAATTTATCAAAATTATGGATCGCGGTTTCTAACTTATTAGTTCTCGGCACTTATACGTGGTACGAAATCAAAGTCTGCCGCTTAAAGCTTCTTGGCACTAACTTGTTTCAAAACACCAAAAGAAAAAGAAAAAATTCTTACCCTTTTCTTGTGAAATTATGTTTGTTCGTATATCCCGTTGTTTCAACTAATGGTAAATGATTACAAAATAACAGTTGTATTTTAGCAAATTTCAGTTAGTATTGGAATATTGCGTCTAATGAATAAAACCATACATTGCACAGTTGAACTTTGAGTAAATTTACTCGATAGAAATACAAAACACTTCGTTGTCTTATCTACAGGGTCTTCTTTTGGCTGTTACTATTAAAAATTAAATATGGCGCTTTGAGATATTATTTTCGTTAAAATTCAGTTATCAAATAATTTGATTACACGTAGTTTATTCAAGGGATATCACATTTTGTTTCCTACTTTTCAATACAACTCCAAAAGTGACAGTTGTATACCAAATATAATATACTTTTGATATAATAGGCATACCGAACATTGGCCATGTAAATAAAAAATAAGGAATGGTTTTTAAGTGGACGATTAATTAAAGATTATTTTCATTCTTAAGTAATACAAAATTGTCTTGTGATTTCTTAATGCATCAAAACATGGATAGCTACTTTTAGCCTAAAATATTGTAGCTTGGTCAGCTATCAGTTATATATAAAAGTTTTTCTCGAGATCTATATATTATATTTTCTAAATATAGTTTTGCATTCTATCATTTGTAGAATTTTCGATAAGCGTGTTAGGTATACTTACGTAAAACTTTTATGTTTGGTCCCTATAAAAACAATATGTATTGGTATTTTACCAATATACATATACGGTCATCATTTAATTAAAATGACTGCACCACAAACATGTCAATTGGTTATTAATAATAAAAACTTTTTGGATAAAAAGACTGAATTTAAGTAAATAGTC